GAGCAAGATGGGCCGGACACGCCCTGGAGCCCTCCGTGGTCCTTCACCAACTGGCCAACCTCCCACGTCCCTCCCCAGCCCCAACTGTGCACTGGTGGGGTCCCTTGGCCTGGCCCGCGCCCTCTCACCATCTGGGCTGAGGCCCTCCCCCCAAGTGCACTAATTTTGTGCACCGGGCCTCTAGTAGGGTTTATAATAGACTAACCCAGTGGTCGGCAAACTCATTAGTCAACAGAGCCAAATATCAACGACTGAAATTTCTTTTGAGAACCAAATTTTTAAACATAAACTATATAGGTAGGTACATTGTTATTAACTTAATTAGGGTACTCCTAAGCTGGCCTTTGCTAAAAATGTCCTCAATCTGAGGGGTCGACCTCAGCGAACGTATCCCCAATTCTTCTAACGCCACTTCTTCAAAAATAGACTCACCCAGGCCGAAAACCAACTCCTGCGCATGGGCCACGAAGTTTCAGGCGCACTGTACGTGCGCGCCCACACGTGGTATTTTGTGGAAGAGCCACACTCAAGGGGCCAAAGAGCCGCATGTGGCTCGCGAGCCACGGTTTGCCGACCACTGGACTAACCTGACTAACTCTCCCAAGGACATTAAATTCCTTTCACTTTATCTCCTATTTAGAATATCATTATATAAATATCATTTTGACACTCATTTGAGAAAAATAATCATTAGGGAAAACTTACCCAAAGAAGCCAAATCAGAATACTGTCCACTGAGAAGGAATAAGTCAACAGCTACCTGCTGACCAGAACAATCCAAAGCTAATTTCTTATAGAAGTCAGTGGATGGTGTCAAGTGAATTTCCTATTAATAATAAATTAAAAAGAGAAAAAATTTTAAATCATTAAATTGTTATAAAATTTAGGCACTTTCCCTCCTGGGAGCATGCCATGCCTTTCCCTTTCCCTCCTTGCCCCAGGCACCATTAGCTTCTTCACTCCCAAGCTCCAAGGGCCCTTCCTTTACCTGCATAACTTGTTTCCTAAACCCATTTCTTTTAGGAATTAACTCTTCTATTCCTATGATTTACCAAATAAATGTTCTCTTACAAAAAAAATTGTCATAAAATTTAAATTTCTAGCCTGGCTACTGTGGCTCAGCGGTTGAGCATCCACCAATGAACCAGGAGATCACAGTTCGATTCTGATCAAGGAACATACCGGGTTTCAGGTTTGATACCCAATGGGGGCATGTAGGAGACAGCCTATCGATGATTCTCCCTCATCATTGATGTTTCTCTCTCTCTCCCCCCCTTTCCCTTCCTCTCTTTGAAATCAATAATAATAATAATTTATTGAAATTTCAATTTATTTATTTTATAATTAAATTTCTATCTATACATACCAAGATATTAACAAAATCCATTGGCTTGAGAATATTTGTAATTTTTCAATAAGAAACATCTACTTAAGGATTTTTTTCTTTTGTTTGACTTTAAAAGAAAACTATTATACTAATTTCAATAATCTATTAAATAGTATACTGGAAATGGTTCTAAAAATTCATATGTAATACCTATTTAGCCCTTTTAACTACCATAAGAGATGGGTACTATCATTATTTTCATTTTATAAATATAAAGGCAACAAGGGGCAAAGAAATTAAATAACTATTCAAGCTCATGCATCTAAAAAGCAGTGGAACTTAGACTGACTCCAGGACCAACACCATTATCATTATAGCATACGGCTTCTCATAATCTTTTTGAGAAACATATATCTCAAACTACGTTTATAAATATAAGATGCTCAAAAGTAATGCATAGCAGTCAACATACCAAACTATGAGTATTTTTTACTGATCACTCAGGTTCTACTTTGTCCCTAGCAAGCTTATTCTCTTAGTCTGCCTTTCTCATTAAAGAAGGCTGCATTGCTAATGGCATGCTAAAGATCTAAAAATAAGGTAAGAGTGAATCAGGTAGAAAATCCTATATATTAAAAGCCTAATATGCTAATGATATGCTAAGGTTGCTCTACCGCTTGCTATGACGTGCACTGATCACCAGGAGGCAGACACTCTGACCAATAGGTTAGCTTGCTGCCGTTTGGGACTGAGTGAGATGGGCTGGACACACCCTGGAGCCCTCCCGTGGTCCCTCCCCGGCTGGCCAACCTCCCATGTCTTTCCCTGGTCCTGATCATGCACTGGTGGGGTCCCTTGGCCTGGCCTGTGCTCTCTCGCAATCTGGGACCCCTTGAGGGATGTCGGAGAGCCGGTTTTGGCCTGATCCCACAGGCCAGGCCGAGGGACCCACTGGTGCACGAATTTGTGCACCGGGCCTCTAGTAATGTAATAAAACAGAAAAGTCTATATAAGAAAGAAACACTTTACCTATTTTCTCATATTCCCTACTCTCCACAACTGAAATATAAATTAAAAAAAAAACAAAAACAAGCTCTATGATCAGAGACAGAACACCAATATAAATCTTATCATAGATTTGATGACCTTCTAACCTTAGCAGATGACCTTTGGTTGGGTTCCTCTCGTGGTTTCAGGGCTCCTACTCCAAGATTTGGGAGTTGTGTTTGAAAGACAGACATTCGACCACCAGTTGGGGACATCAGCTTAAAGGCAGCCTGAAGTGCAGGACCCAAGGCACTCTGGGTCTCCAGGGTCTTGGCGAACATTTGTGGCAAAGTTTTCAGTAAATCTTGGACAAGCTTGTGAAATAAAGCAAGAAAATTCAAGAGTGTTACAATTGAAAATTTTTTTTTTTACAAAAAGCCAGTAACTAATACAATAGACAAAACACTGAGTCATGATGATGGTCAGAGAATCTACAGACAGTACAGTAAACAATGAAGTAGGTCAAATAACAAGAAAGTCATTTTAAATAAACATTATAAATTGGCAAGCAAGACAAATAAAAATTGCGGCCTTACAGTTCTTGCACATGCAAGTAGTCCAGCAAGACTATAAGTCCAAAATGTATCCAAAAGAGCCATCACAGTTTAGAGATTTTATTTCTTTTAATGCCATGAAATATGGCCTTCTCAATCACCTCTACACACTGTATTCTTTTTAGTTCCAAAATGAGTTTAACTTTTCCCTACTGCAAAATCTACGATATCCAGTAAATTTGCCAACTAGTAATGATCACAACAAAAGAAAAACAAAATGAAAAACAACTACCTATTTAGATTAGGATGTACAAATAGAGAGTTAATAGGAAAAAATATATCGCACTATGGCGAAGTCACCATTGCCAACAGCTGAGACCATAGACTTGCTAGTTAAAATGTTACCCCTACGGCATATATGCATATACAGGGTAGACAACATCCCCCCTTCAGACACATTCTGTTCACCTCTCACTGTATTATGTCATGGCAATTTCCAGGCAGGTAATAAGAGTTTCTTCTGCACTGACCCCAATGACACTCTGTGAATCAGAAAAGCACAGGGCACTGAAAGCAGCCTAACTAAAGTGCTTCTGTGTAGTGACCAGAAGCTTATCTCAGCAACCCTCCCGGTTTCCCAAGTGGCTGGCAAGGCAGGTTTCCTTCAGGTTTTCCTCCTAAATGGAATAGGCTCATCTTCTACCCAACTACAAATAACTTGCTACATTAGACTTAAAAGCAATCAGTTCAAAGGCATAGTCAAGAGTAGTTCTTTTGATAAATTTTAATTAACATCAAAATATAAATGCTACACATATTAGAAATGCCATAGAAAGAAGCAAAATTTTACTTAATATTTTAAAAATATATTCCTTCAATATTGCAATTAAACATGTTGGATAGGAAAATGTGCCTTACCTCTTTACTTTCATTTAAATTTACTAATAAGTTCTCCGGCATAGGTATAAAAATATCTGAAATAAATAAATATTTTTTTAAAAAATTGTTAAAGGTGTCCCAAAACCACCTCCTCCTCCACTATAGCACATGTCTGTGTGTGTATGATTTAGGTATTTATTGGAATTTAACTGTTCTTTTTTTTTTAACCCTCACCCGAGGATATTTTTCCATTGATTTTTAGAGAGAGTGGAAGAGAGGGAAAGACAGAGAGAAATATCGATGTGAGAGAAACACACCGACTGGTTGCCTCCTGCACGCACCCTGACCAGGGCCCAGGCCACGGAGGAGTCTGCAACCAAGGTACATGTCCTTGACCAGAGTTGAACCCGGGACCCTTCAGTCCGCCGGCCAACGCTTTATCCACTGAGCCAAACTGGCTAGGGCTGGAACTTAATTGTTCCCGTGTAAAAGATAAATAGAAACTATTAGAAACTATTGATTCACAAGCACTCAGTAAGGGTTTGCACAAGTGCTCTGTTTCTTAGGTTAAAGGCAACAATTCAGAACCCTACTTTATAAAGTTCTTGCTTAGCCCTGAAAGCCAGCCAAAAAAACACTTATTAAAAAAAAAAAAAAAGCCAGGGCCAGTGTGGCTCAGTTGGTGGAGTGTCGTCCCCTGCACCAAAAGGTCGAGGATTCGATTCCTGGTCAAGGCACATGCTCAGGTTTTGGGTTCAATCCCCAGTCAGGGTTCGTATAAGAGACAACAGATTGATGTTTCTCTCTCTCTCTCTGTTTCTCTCTCTCTCTTTCAGGTTGACATACAAGAAAGAATACTATGTCTTTAATATAAGCATAACACAGCCCACTGACAGACCGTCACTCAAAAAGCAGCTATTTTCTCATAAAGAAGGTGTCCACCAGTACCACTACTTATGGGACTACAAAATCAAGTGAATCAGAAAATATGCTAACTGACCACATCAGATGAGCTTCTCAGGATTCAAATTTATTCTTGCTAACAAATTAAATTATCTTCCTGAAAAGGAAGCAAACTGGGACAAAAGGAAGGAAATGTGGGTGGTGGTGGATGATTATGAGGGGTCTTATATCTATATTAGTGTAACGTTTTTTATTACAAAAAAATAAGCTTTATTATAATGCTTGTAAAAAATAATACCAACAATTAACTTGAAACATTAAGTACTTACTTTAGCTGTCATATAAAAAATATACTGTTTCAATTTCTTCCCTGTCTTTTTTAAAATTAAAATTTTAGCCCTAGCCGGTTTGGCTCAGTGCATAGAGCATCAGCCTGCGGACTAAAGGGTCCCAGGTTCGATTCGGGCCAAGGGCACATGCCTGGGTTGCGGGCTCGATCTCCACCCCCACCCCAGTAGGGGGTGTGCAGGAGGCAGCCAATCAATGATTCTCTCTCATCATTGATGTTTCTCTCTCTCTCTATCCTCCTTCCTCTTTCAAATCAATAAAAATATGTGTTAAAAAATTGTCCTTAAAAAAACACAAACTTTAGCCCTGGTGGTGTGCTTAGTGGTTAGAGCATCAGCCCATGCACCCAAGGGTCATGGGTTTGATTGCTGATCAAGGGCACATTTGGATTGAAGTTTCAATTCCTGGACCTGGCTGGGGTACATGCGAGAGGAAACCAATAGTGTCTCTCTCACAGCAATGTTTCTCTTTCTCTTTCTTCCTCTCTCTCTCTCCCCTCCCTCAGTTCCCTGAATTCTCTCTCTAAAAAAAAAAATTTAAACTTTAATCAGTTTTGCCCTGGCCAGTGTTGCTCAGTGATTAGAGCATTGGCCTGTACATTGAAGGATCTTGGGTTTGATTCCTGGTGAAGAGCACATAGCTGGGTTGCAGGTTCTCTCCCTGCCCTGGTCGTGCAGGAGGCAACCAGTCAATGTATCTCTTTCACATCAATGTTTCTCTTTCTCTCTCTTCCCGCTCCATTTTTCCCTCCCACTCTCTCTCTGAAAAGTAATGGAAAAAAATATCCTCAGGTGAGGATTAGCAAAAAAAATGTTCAAATAAGTTATATTGAGATATAATTCACCCTTGTAGAAAATATAATTAGTGATTTTTAATATATTCAGAGTTGCACAACTGTCATCGCTATCTAATTCCAGACACTTTCCTCATATCCAAAAGAAAACCTTCACTGATTACCAGTCAGTCACTCCTCAGTTCTCTGCCAATCACCACAGCTCTAAGTAGCTTCCAGTCTGTGTCTCTAGATTTGCCTATTCTAGACATTTCATATTAATGGAGTTACACTACAAGGTCCTTTTTGACTGATTTTTTAAAACTTAGCATATTGTTTTCAAGGTTCATCCATGTTCTAGCATCAGTATTTTATTCTTTTTATTGTATGGATATACCACATTTTGTTTATTCATTCAGCAAAAGATGAGCATTTGGGTTGTTACTACTTTTTGGCTATGTTGCTGTGGACATTCATGTACACATTTTTGTGTAGACTGGGTTCAATTTTCTTGAATATTGAGTGGAACTGCTGAGACATATGGAACTCTAAGTTTACTTCGGAAGAAATGACAGACTGTTTTGCACAGTGGCTGAACCATTTGCCATTCCCACAAGCAGTGTAAGAGAGTTCCAATTTCTCCACATCCTTGCAAATATTTGTTATTGTCCTTTCTTTTTTCCCCCCTCTATTTCAAACTTATTTTTATTTTTCAATTACAGTTGACATAATTATATTAGTTTCAGGTATACAGCCCAGTGATTAGACATTACATAACTAAGTGATCATCCAATAAATCTCACAACCATGACAAGTTATTAGAATATTACTGTCTATATTCCCTAAACTGTACTTTGTATCTCTATGACTATTCCGTAAAAACCAGTTTGGACTTCTTAATACCTTCACCTTTTTCACCCTCCTTCCCCCTAACCCCTCTCCCATTTTGAATTGTCAAAATGTCCTCTGTATCTATCAGTATATTTCTGTTCTGCTTGTTATTTTGTTAAGATTTAATTGTTGCCAGATATATATTTGTTGCCATTTTCTTTCGATATTTATCTTTTCTTCTTCTTTTTAAACAAGACCCATTAATATTTCATCTAATACTGGTTTGGTGATGAACTCCTTAACTTTTTCTTGTCTGTGAAGCTCTATCTGTCCTTCGATTCTAAATTACAGTTTTGCTGGGGAGAATAATCTTGGTTGTAGGTCCTTGCTTTTCATCACTTTAAATACTTTGTGCCAATCCCTTCTGGTCTGCAAAGTTTCTGTTGAAATTAGCTGACAATCTTATGGGAGCTTCTTTGTAACCAATTGTCTTTCTCTTGCTGCTTTTGAGATTCTCTCTTTAACCTTCTGCATTTTAATTATGATGTGTCTTGGTGTGGGCCTCTTTGGGTTCATCTTGTTTGGGACTCTGTACTTCCCCTGGACTTGCATGTCTATTTCCTTCTCCAGGTTAGGGAAGTTTTCTGTCATAAATTTTTCAAATAGGTTTTCAATTTCTTGCTCTCTTCTTCTGGCACCCCCATGATGTGAAAACATTAATATACTTGAAGTTGTCTCAGAAGCTCCTTACACTATCCTCATTTTTTAAAATTTCTTTTTCTGTTCTTTCTATATTCCAAATCACTGATTTGATTCTCAGCTTCGTCTACTCTACTGTTGATTCCCTGTAAATTATTCTTCATTTCAGTTAGTGTATGCTTAATTTTAGGAAAATCTGAAGCATGATCCAAGACAGGCCATTCCTATTGAAAAGTCTAAAAGATGAGTGTGGTAGGACCTCAGGGAATCACCAGGGCAGGGCAAACAGTGTGAGCCAGATTGATGGAGTCTTAGAGATGAAGCCTGCCTGCTGGCTCTGTGGAGGGAGGGCTCATCAAAAGACCAATGGCCTCTGCTAGCACTTCTGTCTGGGAGAAAGTTGCCCCTCCCCCCAAGTTCTTGCCCTGAGGCTGGACAATTCAGTTCCTTCCCATATGTTCTCTGGTGCCTTTAACGCTGCAGCCCCAGTCCTGGAGCTCAGAGGGAGTGAGTTTGAGCAAGTCAGTGTGCAGGTCCTTTAAAAGGAACTGCCCAAGACTCCAATAGCCCTCCTTCTCCCTCATCCTCAATCCCCGCTGTTTTTTACAACCAGGAGTTATGAAGACTTCTCTTCCTGGCACTGCAACCCTGGGCTGGCGACCCCTTGCTCCTCAGGGGGGACCTCTGCAGCCGAGATGTCCCTCCCAATTTTTTCCACCAACTGTGAGTTTAGGACCAGCCCCTTCTACTGGGCCTCAATATGCCTTCTTCTTTAATTCCCTATTTGTAAGACTTCCATTTAGCCAGGGTTCAGGTAGTTCTGAATGATGGTGTTGTTTAGTTGTAATTTTGATGTGGTTATAAGAGGAGTGGAGTACTGAGTTTACCTATGCTGCCATCTTGCCCAGAAGTCCTTTTTTTCTTCTTCTATGTGACATCCAGCAAGGGATATTCCATCTATCAGGTCATGTGTAAAATTGAGAGAGGCTGGAACACAACAGTAAATTCACAACTTGGCCCACCATGAGAATTACCTGTTTAGATTTTACTTTATGCTAAAAAAGTATCTGGGTGAAAGGGGGTGATCTGTTGTGAATATTTAGAACCAAAACAGAAGCAAGCTCTCCTCAATTACTGCCCTTTAAAGAGGTACATTCAGTCTACATTGTTCATGGATTCCTTACTTGTGAATTTGCCTACTCACTAAAATTTACTTGTAACCCCAAAACCAATACTCATAGTGCATTTACAGACATTTTCAGAGATGAAAACTGATTCTGAAAATTTGTTAACTGATGTGAGGTGGCATCTGGCGGTTTTCATTTGTATTTCCCTGATAACTCAAGTACTTAATGGCCAACTGTATATAAAGAATACTGACTGTTGTGTGAATAGATGTTTATTCAATTCCTTTGCCCAATTTTTAATTATATTATTTGTCTTTTTATTAAGTTGTAGTTCTGAACATAATTTAGATGTAATTCTCTGATCAGATATATGATTTACAAATATTTTCTTTCATTCTAATATTTTCTTTCATTCTATGGATTCTCAGTTCACTTTTTTGTTGTTAATCCTCACCTGAGGATATTTTTCCATTGATCTTTTAGAGAGAGTGGTAGTGAGAGGAAAAGACAGAGAGAAACACTGATGTGAGAGGAACCCATCGATTGGTTGCCTCCTGCAATCAAACCCAGGACCTTTTGGCCCACAGGCCGACACTCTATCCACTGAGCCTAACCAGCTAGGGCTCAGTTCACTTTCTTGATGGTGTCCTTTGAATTTAACACAAAAGTTTTTAATTTTGAAGAAGTCTAATTTATCTATGTTTTTCTTGTTTGTGTTTTTGGTGCTATATCTTAAGAAATCACTGTCTAATCCAAGGTCACAAAGACTTATTTCTATATTTTCATCTAACAGTTTTATAGTTTTAGTCTCACACTTAAGTTAATTTTTTAAATTGTGGTAAAACATACAAAATATAACAAATGTATCATCTTGCCATTTTAAGTGTACAATTCAGTGGTATTAAAGACATTCACAGTGTTTGTAACCATCACTGTTATATTTTCAAAAGTTTTCAACACCCCAAACAGAAATCCTATACCCATCTATATATATAAAAGCCTAAGCGACCATTACGACCGAACGACCAGTCACTATGACGTGCTTTGACCACCAGGGGGCAGACACTCAATGCAGGAGCTGTCCCCTGGTGGTCAGTGTGTTCCCACAGGGGGAGCACCACTCAGCTAGGCTCACGGCTGGCCAGTGCAGCTGTGGCGGCGGGAGTCTCTCCTGCCTTTGCGGCAGTGCTACTGAGCAGTGGTGGTGGCAGCAGGCGCAGCGGGGCTGGGATGAGCAGCAGCAGAGCTGTGCCTAGCCCTGGCTGGGGCTCCTAGCTAGCTGCCTGCTGCTTCGGCACTGCTATATCCCTGGTGGGGGGCGGTGGGGGGAATGTTGGATTGCAGGGATCGGGCTGAAACCCAGCAGTCCGACATCCCCTGAGGGGTCACGGATTATGAGAGGGCACAGGCCAGGCTGAGGGACCCCATCCATGCATGAATCCGTGCACTGGGCCTCTATTTAAATAATAATTCTCTATTCTTCTTTCCTACCCAGCCCTTGGTAATCTGTATTCTACTTTCAATTTCTATGAATTTTCTGTTCTTGGTACCTCATATAAGTGGAATTATACAATATCTGTTCTTGTGTCTGGCTTATTTCACTTTGTATAGTGTTTTCAAGGTTATCCACATATGTAGCATAAGTCAGAATTTCATGCTTGCCCTGGCTAGTGTGGCTCAGTTGGTTAGAGCATTGTCCCATACACCAAAAGGCTGTGGGTTCAATCCCTAGTCAGGGCAAGTGCAGGAGGCAACCAATTGATGTTTCTTTCCCTCTCTCCCTTCCTCTCTCTATGATCAATTTTTTTAAGTGATCATAAAAAAAGAATTTCATTCTTGAGGATGAATAAATAACATTCCATTATATATATATTGTTTACCCTTTCATCTGTTGATGGGTGGTTTCCACCTGTTGGCCTTGGTAAAAATGTTGCTGTGCCCAGCCGGCATGGCTCAGTGGTTGAGCGTCAATCTATGAACCAGAATGTTAAGGAGGTTTGATTCCTGGTCAGGGCACATGCCCCAGTTGTGGGCTCGATCCCCAGTGGAGCCAGTGTAAGAGGCAGCCAATCGATGATTCTCTCTCATCATTGGTGTTTCTATCTCTCTTTCCCTCTCCCTTCCTCTCTGAAATCAATAAAAATATATTTTAAAAAATAATGGTGCTATGAACAATGGCATACAAGTATTTGTTAGGTGTACCTGCTTTCAATTCCTTTAGGTATATACAGGAAAGTAGATTAGATCACAATGTGTTAAAACTTTTACAGGAACTGCTAAACTATTTTTAATAGCACTGCCATTTTTATTTTAAATTTTTATTTATTATATATATTTATTTTATTTCACCCATTCTTCACCCCCTCCCATTTGGCAACCATCAGCTTGTTCTCTACATCTATGCATCCATTTCTATCTGACTTCTTTCACTTAGCATAATACCCTCTCGGTTCATCCATGTTGTTGCAGATAGCAAGATTTCATTCTTTTTTACTGATGAGTAATATTCCATTGTGTGTATACCACACACACACACACACACACACACACAGGACATCTTCTTTATCCATTCATCTATTGATGGACACCTAGGTTGTTTCCCATATCCTGCTTTTGTAAGTACTGACGCAATGAATATAGGGGAGCATATGTCTTTTTGAATTCGTGTTTTTGTTTTCTTCAGATAAGTATCCAGAAGTAGAATTGCTGGGTCAAATGGCAGCTCTGTTTTTAATTTTTTGAGGACTCTCCATACTGTTTTCCATAGTGGCTGCACCAGCAGTGCCACCAACAATGCACAACAGTTCCAATGTTTCCACATCCCTGCCAATATTTGTTGCTTTCCGTTTTGGGGTAATAGCCATATCAGTGAACATGAAATGTGGTATCTCATTGTGGTTTTTGATTTGAATTTCTCTAATGACTAATAACATTAGGTATTTTGTCATTATTTCATTATTGGTCATTTGTATATATTCTTTAGAGAAATATCTATTCAAGCTCTTTCCCTATTTTTGATGTCATTTTGTTGTTGAGTAGTTCTTTAGATGTATTGAATATTAATCCTTCCTTAGATATACTAGTATGATTTGCATATATTTTCTCCCATTCTGTGAGTTGCCTTTTTTATTGTGAGTTGTCTTTTTACTCTCTTGGTAGTGTTCTTTGATATACAATAGTTTTAATATTGAAAAAGTCCATTTTATTATTTTTTCTTTCTTGGTGTCTTTGCTTTCGGTGTCAGATCCAGGAAATCACTGTCAACTCCAATGTCATGAAGATTTTCACCTATGTTTTCTTCTAAGAGTTTTGTATTTTATAGTTTTAGTTCTTAAGTTTGGCTCTTTTATCCATTGAGTTAATTTTTTTTATCTGGTTTAAGGTAAGGGTCCAACTTCATTAATTTGCATGTTCAGTATTCCCAGAACTATTTGTTGAAAAGACTGTATTTTCTGCCCTGGCTGGTGTGGCTCAGTTCATTGAGTATCATCCCATGCTCCAAAAGGTTGCTGGTTCAATTCCCAGTCAGGGTACATGACCAGCTTGGGGCCCGATCCCCAGTGGGGGAGGCGTTCAGGAGGCAGCCAATTGATGTTTCTCTCTCTCCCTTTCCCTTCCTCTCTCTAAAAACATATTAAAAAAAAAGAAGACTGTCTTTCCCCATTGAATGTTTTTAGCATCCTTGTAAAAAATCAAAGCCCATACATATGTGATGGTTTATTTCTGGGTTCTCTATTCTATTATATAATTTCTATATTATATAATTTCTGGGTTCTCTATTGGTCTATATGTCTCTCCTCAAATATTTTTTGAATAAATGTGTTGCCTTGTTTATAATTCACTTTACCTCCATAACTGCTTCCTCCTCCTATTAAATGAGGGATGAACTTAAGGACTCTTACAATTCCAACAATCTTATGATATTATACTCAAGGTTTTCCTCAATATAGAATTATACCATACACTCTTAATTTATCAAATAGTCATGAAATATTTCTAAAGCTACAAATGACTAAGATAGTTCAGTAATTTCAAGTGTATAATATGTACCTTCAATATCTGAAACTATTAGCATCTGAGGTTGAGAGAGACCTTCTTGAAGACTGTAGAAGTGGATTGTACTATCAAATGTTATGAAGCCAATTTTTGTCCTAGTGTTGCCAGGAAGCCTAAAAGTAAATTTAGAAGAGTATTTTATCAAGTTTTCTCATATTCATATACATATATATTAAATATCCAATAAGAGTTACATGAAAATATCTACTTTCATATTATAGAATTTGTCCTAACATAAACGTTTAACCCCTCCAATGTTTAATCACCATGAAAGCATACCCTACTTAAAGTGAAAACACTACACATAAACCAAACAATCAAGAAAACCCAGTAATAATACAGCAATTCAAAACTCATTATACCTATATAAAATTATATAATCACTTGGAAAATGGCATATAAAAATACTGGAAAGCATAAACAAAACTTTGTAGAAGATTTTAATTTATAAAATACATTATAAAATTACTATATACCTACTCTAAAATTTAATATAAATTTAGATACTGCATAGCTGTTAAAAATTTTACCCATGTTTGGGTGAATCAGTGGACTCTTCCTCAACAGACAATCCCCATATGCAACCTGTAACGTTAAAAGTACAAACGCTGGCAAGAACAAGGATGCCCCTTATCATCAAGGTAAGGGAGTTAGTTTGTTTTTGATGAGATTTTGTTTTCCATATTCTTCCATAGAACACAAGTACACTATAATGCATTACACTAAAAGGTCACACAAACTTTTATAGGTTACCCTAAGTAACTAAGCACCATTTAAAGTACAGATGTTTAAAAAAAAAAAAAGAGAGAGAGAGAGAGAGAGAGAGAGAGGGAAAAAAATGTACAGCTATTTTTAAATAAATAAATAAAAAGTAAAGCACAGATATTTTAAGAGACTTATGAGACATAACAGCCAAATGCAATGTGTAAAAATAGTTTAGGTTCTTATTCCAACAAACCTACAGCAAAGAAGCATTTCTGAAACAATCAGAACAAAAACTGAACTGGGTATTAGTTGATATTATGAAATTATTGTTAATTTTGTTTGGTGTGACACTCCTATTTTAATTAGAGCTAAAAATAATTCCAAGTATTTATAGGTAAGATGATATGCTGATTGAGATTTACACTAAAGTACTCAAGGGGGGGTATGTTTGTATGATTACATAAAGCAAAAACAGCTGAATGCTGCCCTGGCCGGTGTGGCTCAGGTGGTGGTAACGTTATCTGTACACCAAAAGGTGGTGGGTTCAATTCCCAATCAAGGCACATACCCAGATTTTGGGTTCAATCCATGGTCAGAGCAAGTGAAGGAAGCAACCAATTGATGTTTCTTTCTCCCCATCCCCTCTCCTTTTCTCCCTTCCTCTATAAGATTGGGGGGGGTGGGGGGGGGGCGGAAAGAATAGCTGAATGCTAAAAATGTTAAAGTTGAGGGAGAAGGGATGAATATTTGGAAGTTCATTACATTCTTTCTATTTACTCTATGTTTAAAATTTTTCCAAAATAAAAAGTTAAAATAGAATTTTGGAGAAAGCAAGGCCTAAAGTTCACAACTGACTTAAGTAGGCTTTTAGAATATAATTACATAGCTTTTTTTTTGTATTTTAAAACTATTTATCCATTTTGTAAACAGTTAGTTTCCAATTGAAACTGAATCAAGATACTTACAAATCCAGATTGTCTAACAAACTCTGGCAAACTGAATTCAAGTATCCAGTTTCAATTGCATTGTGAGACACATCAAACACAAAGAGGTACACTGGAGGTTGAGGTGGTCGTAACTGAAAAAAAAAAAAAAAAAAAATCTCATTAAATACATTTAATAGGATTAGATTTAAATTTATCATTTGTCCTGTCTACATACAGCAAAAGAATAAAATAAGCATTATTTATAAATTAAATGGAGACTATAATAAACAACGGAGTAAAAAAATAATGTAGAAAGAATAGAAGTTTAAAAAACAGGCAAAACTATACCATATTGTTTTCAGATGGATACTTAGGGGGAAAAATGAGGATGTGATTGCTATTAGTCAGAAGACTGTTTTCTCCAGCATGGGAAGGGGAGGAAATGTGATCAGAAGGGCTTCTGGGAATATTAGCAACGTTCAATTTCTCGACCTGGGTGGTGCTAACACAGCATTTATAATTATTTGGCATACTATATATTTTTGTTTTATAGATTTTTCCATATGTGCATTATATTTCACAACTTAGGGGGAATTACAGTTCTGAAAGTGACAAATTAAGTTGCCTGAGCTCGTTATTTAACAAACACATTTCAGCCAAGTTTCACAAAAATGTACAACTACGTTTTTAAACTTCCCAATTCAAAGATCTGTTTTCAATTCAATAAAAAGCAGCAAGTAACCACAATCAGAACTGGCGCATATAGTGTACTAACTTTTGTGTGTGGTTGTGGGGTTTTTTTGGTAAATATTACTTGCTGAATCACAGAATCTGTTGCCCCAAGAGGTAAGTTGAGAAGAAGCAAAACCTCTTGCTATATACAAGTTCTAAATTTAAAGAAAGCCATTTTCGTAAAACCTGGGAGATAAAAGAAAAGAAATCCAGGAAGGCCAATTCAAAAGAACAAATGCTTCTGCACTTTCTGCTTTTAACTCAACAAAGGGACAGCTACTACCAACCAACCATTCATTCATTCATTCTTTAATCCGCACTGGAGGATATTTTTTCCACTGATTTTTTACAGAGAGTGGAAGGGTGGGAAGGAGGAAGAGGTGGAAGAGGTGGGAGAGGGAGAGAGAGAGAGAGAGAGAGAGAGAGAGAGAGAGAGAGAGAAGGAAGCATTTATGTGAGAGACACATTGATTGCCTACCACACGAGCCCTGATCAGGGCCGGGGATCGAGCCTGCAACCCAAGTACTTGCCCTTGACCAGAATCGAACCTGCAAACCTGCCCACTCACCAAAGGGTTGCAGGTTCGATTCCTGGCCAAGGGCACGTTTCTGGGTTGCAGGTTCCATACCCAGCTCCGACCGCATTTGGGAGGCAACCAATCTATGTCTATCGATGTCTTTTTCTGTCTCTCTCCATCTCCCTACTCCCTCCCTTCCACTCCCTTTCAAAATCGATGGAAAAAATATCCCACTCCTTGAGTGAGGATTAATAAACAACAACAAAAAAAGTACTTGGAAGAGGATGCTCATCACACCATTATTTGTAATTTAAAAAATTGGAAGTGACTTAAAAGTAAATATGATCTCAACATGGTATTGCAATTTCTAGATGAACACACAAGAATCATAAGTGGAACTTTACATACTAGTACACTTTTCAGACTTATTCTTATATACTAATTAACTATTTTTATAATGAACATGTATAACTTTTCTAAATTTAAAACCATAAAATTTTGTTAAAGGATGCTATGTTGTTTTATTTAGAACCCACTATTATGAGATAAATACGTTATATAAAAAAATGAAAACTTACCATGTATTCTGAAGGAGCCATAAACTCAATTGTAGCATTTTGAACTTCAGGTCTTCTGTGAGGTTCTCCATAGGCTCTGGTCAAAGGGTTGTACATGAATTCTTCAGGAACTATATAAGTTGACAACATAAAATGATAAAACTAAGATTAAGTTTAATAAACCTTGTGTTTGGCTGTTTTCTTATTTAGCAATTTATAAATACTTCAATATAGACTAAATGTTAAGGGATAATATGTACACTTTGTTTTTGAGGTCCATTCAAGTTCTTCATATACTAAATGGTCCTGCATATGTCTTACTTTTATACACTAAATCACTGTTATTTTTTTTCTTTCCCTGTCTTCTAATATCCTCTTCATCTTAATTCTTGCTAAAGCTTTTCTAAAATAGCTTGAAAAAATGATAAAAACTTATTAAATGCCAATAATTTTTTTAACAAGGATATTAACATTTGACACATAATATGTAAAGACTCTGGATACTCCTTGAAAGGTATGGTAAAAACACTTAAAAGTTTAGTCTAAAGGTATGGTGAATTTCATTAATTAATAAGACCTCTATGGAACATCAGTTGCCTACCACTTATGATATAATGGAGCTCAAAGAATATTTTCTAAATGAATTATCATTGTAGCTGTCTTCTAACTGTTTAGAAATTCAAATTCTTATGTAGCTAAAGGATAAGCCATAGTTCATGAAATGGTCTGTGCTGCATATGAAAGTGACTTCAACCTTTATTACCATTTCATTTCATATACTGAAGCACATATACGTAAGATTTTAAGGTGTACTAAACACTATACATATATTTTCTGAATTATTATAGAATAAAAAGAATGCTCTTACTCTATCCTCACTTTCCTCTACTCTTGAATGCATAAAATAAGTAGAACAAATCAATGTCTCTCTCTCTCTAATCAATAAATAAAAACATTTTTTAAATGATTTTGAGAGATATCTTAAATTCCTTTATTTCCCAATGCTCAATGAAATTTCCTTCCAAGCACAGACTTAATTTTCAATGTAGATATCAGCATACACTTTTTCTTCTAGAATCCTATTAAAGTGTAGTTGGTTAGATGATATTCCTCAAAAGTAAATTGTGAAACAGTTGAAAGAGATCTCCTCCTTCTCAATTACTGAGAAAACTACATTCAACTAACCTTCCAGCACTGCCCACCTCCCTTCATACAGCAGTAAATAAAGCTAATGGCAGCTAATCTGTGGACTTACTTTCTTTTACCCCTAGAGCAGTGATTTTCAACCTTTTTCATCTCATGGCATACAGGAACTAATTTACTAAAATTATGTGGCACACCAGAAAATATATTATATATTTTGTTGATCTGACAAAAAAAAAAAAAAAAAGGTATAATTTTGATTCATTCACACCTGACGGCTATTGTTGTGTTGGCTGTTGTCATTTTTTATTTGACAATCTAAGGGAAAAGAGGTCAGTGCCCCTGACTAGTCAGGTATTTATCTCGTTTTAAAAATTCTTTCCCTCTCTCTGTCTAGGTGCACCGGTTGAAAATCGCTGCCCTAGCCAAAACCGGTTTGGCTCAGTGGATGGAGCGTCGGCCTGCGGACTGAAAGGTCCCAGGTTCGATTCCGGTCAAGGGCATGTACCTGGGTTGCGGGCACATCCCCAGTAGGGGATGTGCAGGAGGCAGCTGATCGATGTCTCTCTCTCATCGATGTTTCTAACTCTCTATCTCTCTCCCTTCCTCTCTGTAAAAAATCAATAAAATATATTTAAAAAAAAAAAGAAAATCGCTGCCCTAGATTAAAGGCATTGGACAATTTCTAAATAAAAATATTTCATAAATTACAGACTTAAGTAACACCATAAAATATGCCATTTATTATTATACCCAACATAATAAATGTAAAATAGTGGTATCAAAGTAATATTATCACTTTTTTTTTTTTTTTTGCCTAAGAAGAATATAATTATTTATATGTAGAAATAAGTGCATAGAAAATCGTTAATAGAAGCTATTTCTGAGTGGAATGTTTACAGGTAAGTAAGACAGGGCTGTTGATTTTTTTAACTTCACATCTGTATTATTTGATTTCCCTACAATGGAAGTAAAAATTTTAAAATGTTTCAAAAAAACATACCATCATTGACTTGGTAACATAAGTTACACTTCCATCTCCTTTGATCAAGAAAGCTGACAAAAGGGTTGATGTATGTCCTGCATGAACGGCATCTCACAATCGTACTGGAGGTAACCACAGGCAATTGCTGAAAAAAACAACTAATTTTTTTAAGGCAGTGATCATCGTAACTAAGGCGAAGCACGAATCATACTTCCAAATAATTGTTGGGATATTGTAACTTTGGAGGAAAAAACCCCAGGGTAAAAAGTGTCCAAAATGCGACACAAAAAATTATGTAGCAGAGATGTATTGATTTGAAACCCTGTTGCTTTCTCCAGGACTGGTCTCTTAAATTTTACCTTTTAAAAAGTACTTATTTTCTCATTAACATTTATACGCAAAATCAACATAGTAAACTTATAATGTATTTTTGAGATGGGTGGCAAAGGAATGATCAACATTCTAAAACAGGGGTGGGGAACCTTTTTCTGCCAAGAGCCATTTCGACATTTATAACATCATTTTTGGACCATACAAAATTAGCCTGCTATATTTGATCAAAGATTCAATTAACTCACCGCTAATGCCTTGGCAGAGCCAGACGAAATCATTTCACAGGCCTTATACGTTCCCACCCCTATTCTAAAACAAATTATTTCAAAGTTTCTTCATGTTATAGTAAGAGGCTTACTAAATTCTCATGAAAGAACTGTCATATTTAAATATTCAATTAAACTTTGCAATTATGCTCCTATTTAAAGTTTATCCTACATTAAAAAAAAGTTGTAAAGTCTTAATATAAAAATATCAGTAAAGGCAATAAAATCCTATCATCAATTGAAGGTTTGTTTTGGGAAAATCAATTCACTTAATGCACTGATCCTCTCAACAGTAGGTGGCCATATGTCAAGGTCCCAGAGCCTTAGGACAAAAGTGAAAAGGCTTTTTTGAGGGAGTGGGGGTAGGGTCGATAGGAAGGATTTGGGCCCCTTTTCTTCTTTTTTTAAAACAGCTTCCTAAAGAACAAATTTTATTCCAAGAATGGCAGAACGGGGAGACTGGGTAAAGTATTTTAATAGGTAAATAATTTATAACTTACCATTAGGTCTTTGAAAGGATGAAGCAGCAGTCCTAACGGAAGTTTGGCTTTATTCAGTAAGGCCTGAGTCTGAGGAATGCTAGTCAATGTACATCGAAATAACCTATATTAAAGTAAAAATGATGTACCAGTTGTTGCTATGATTATTTTTGAACAACAAGAAAAAGATTTAAAAGGTACACATTTTGCCCTGGCTGGTTTAGTTCAGTGGCTAGGGTCGGGCTCAGACCGAAGGGTTAAGGGTTTGGTTCCCAGTCAAGGAAACGTATCTCGTACCTTGGCTGATCCCCAGGCCCTGTCAGTGTGCATTGGGGAGGTAACCAATCAATGTGTCTCTTTCTCTCTCCCCTTCCTCCCTCTCTACCACTCCCTCTAAAAGTCAAAAGAAAAAATATCCTCAGATGAGGATTAACAACCAAAAAATGGGTATAATTTTAACACTGGATCAGATTATGGATACATAAAATATTTCAACAGGCTCTCTCAAATTTTATCCCATTTAAATCCTACTCAGAAAGAGAGGGTAGATGGTTACAATCTCTAGTATATAATTAAAGAAAAGTCTCTTTTCTGCTTGTGTGTAAATCTAGACTATCAAATGACCCATTTCTTTGTGTGTGTGTGTTAATCCTCATCCGAGGAAGAGAGAAGGAAAGACAGAGCGAAACATCAATGTGAGATAAACACATCGATCAGATGACTCCTGTACTTGCCCTGACCAGGGCCCAGAGCAGGGAGGAGCCTGCAACCAAGGTATGTGCCCTTGCCTGGAATTGAACCCAGGACCCTTTGGTCCGCACGCCAATGCTCTATCCACTGAGCCAAACTGGTGATGATCCAAATTTGCTAAAGGTTCTAAAATACTATTTATAACAAAATTCAATTTCTCAGAACATCTTTGCTATATATATTTAAGCCTATATGGTCAATTTTAAGAAAAGAGTGTTATAATTATGTTTTTTTATAAAAAAATAATTTGAAATGAGAGCACATAAAGGATTATATAGAATTAAATCTCCGTACTTTGGACTGAAGAAATAATATAGCTACCATAATGATAATGAATATCACACCACCTTTTTTAAAAAATATATTTTATTGATTTTTTACAGAGAGGAAGGGAGAGGGATAGAGAATTAGAAACATCGATGAGAGAGAAACATCCATCAGCTGCCTCCTGCACACTCCCCACTGGGGATGTGCCCGCAACCAAGGTACATGCCCTTGACCAGAATCAAACCTGGGACCCTTAAGGCCGCAGGCTGACGCTCTATCCACTGAGCCAAACCGGTTAGGGCCACACCACCTTTATAGCTGATAAAGGCAGCAATCATCTCAGAAGTTGCAACCCTATTTCTGAGCTTAGAACATTTCAAATATCAATTAAGTACGCAACTAAGAGTTGTTTTCTACCCGCAGAACTACTTTCATAAATTAATATATCTGCACAACTTGTTCATAATATATGACTCCAAAGAAATCTGGAAAATTTTTAGAATGAGTAAAATGTAAGAAACACTGAAGCCTTACTCTGGGTTACAGTTGAGTCTCTGGATATCTTCATGCAAATTTGGAACCGGAGGCTGCAAAGGTGTTGACGGAAGCATGTTTCTCTCATGAAGAAGGTTAATAACTCTTAGCCCGTCTGGATGTAGACTCAATCCACTCATGCTTGCAGTTAAATGATTAGCACCTAAGGAATTCTAAAGATGTATAATTTCAAAGTAAGTAGTCTTTATAATGTCTTCAGTTGAAAACAGAAGTGTATAAGGACATAGTTACTTAATTTCTCTCTAAATAAAACTATAATCTAGACTTTCTGATCAATTTTTTGGTTCTGGAGATATGTAACAGGACAAAGGTCTTATGAAATATCCATATTATTCTAATGGTTTAAAAATGTTCATTATACACGTCCTGAAACTTTTTCATGTATTTACAGTTTAAACAGAAAGGTGGATAATGAGTAAAAAAACAGAAACAAAAAGTTTACCTGGGTAAAGGCCTGTGGCCCACTTGGGTAGCTCAAGGAAGAGGGTGGCATTCCGGTTGTACTAGGTGGTTGTGTGTTCTGATAACCAGGTGGTAAAGAGGGATATGAATATCCAACACTTCGGCTCATTGTAGGATTCTTATCAGTAAGCTGTGGTGTTGCTAGAAACAAGGTAACTTTTAAGTTCTATTTTACACTCCAGAATACTTTAAATCAACACAGAGATCCATTAAATCATAAGAATTATAATTCTAAAATCCTTTTGATAAGTTAATACTTTCATTTATCACTTTTGTAAAATAAGACAAATACTAGCAACAAAGTAATAGCAATGATTAAAATCTACTTAATGTAGACTACAACTATAAACACAAAAATAAGATTTATATAGTTCATTACTTTTATATGTATGAAACTTTGTATTCAGATGAAAATTCTAATTTAAAATAACTTTAATGAAAACATACTAAATGTTCAATTGGTTAAATCAATTTAAATAAATCTAATTGATAAAAATACTTTATAGTCATAGCATCATAATAATAAAGCCCACAATCCCAACTCCGAGGGAAAAAACTAACAAAAGAAATCTATATGCATGGAGATAAAAAATGCTAACAGTAATCATTGTGTGGGACATGATCATAAAGATTTCTTCTTTATTTCCTAAAATGAACAAGAAGAAAAAAACTTTCGTAGCATCTCACCCAAGAAGCCACCGCCTTCAATTTCATCATAACGATTGTGAACCATCATAGATCCATTATTGGTACTTGATGTTATACCTAAGAAAAGTTTATTAATATTTACATTAGAACAACTGTTACAATTTCAATAAGACTGGAGCTAATTTAAGATAACTTTTCAAATGACAAATATAGTTTAAACCACAGCTCAAGAAAAATGTCAAATGTTGAAATAAAATTTTAAACAATGCCAGTTTTTAAATGTACAAAATATACCAAAGTAGCAAATAATTTTATAAACTTCTAAAAAGGATGGTCCTTTGTGGAGTGTACAAAATTATATACTATCTGAAAGATTTCAGCATTTGCAAGAGTAGCATTACAAACCTCTTAAGAGCAATACACACTGAAAAAAAAATCAGTACTAATTAAAAATAAAATAATGAGAAAATAACTTTTTTCAAAATATGGAAAAGGTAGAATTTAGAATTAATCTGAAGGTGATATAAATTAATTAGAACAACTGCATCAGTCTAGAGAACCACCACTAAAATTTTTTAAAAATCTTTTTCCCCCCAATTTGAAGAGTTAAAGTTAAATACCAGAGGCATCTGCTTATGAAGAGTAAAAATTTACTTCTAGGTATGTATGCTATTTAAGAGCTCAAATTCAGGTACAGAAGCAACTAAAATCAGTGACTAGCATCAACCTCTAGCACCTAAGTACAAAGGTGCTAACGTTAATAGTTATTTTGACACCAAATAGGTAAGTTTAAAGGTTTCAAAACAGTTGACAATTTCTATGCAATTCTCAAGACCACCAGATTTTAGCCATGAGTTGATACAGAAAAACTGTTTGCAGCCCTAGCTGGTTGCTCAATGGTTAGAGCGTCAGCCCTTGGACTGAAGGGTGATGGGTTCGATTCCGAAAAAGGGCACGTAGCTCCTCTATTCCAGGCTTGATCTCTATCTCCATCATGGAAATGTGCTGGAGGCAACCAATCGATGTGTCTCTCTCACATCAATGTTTCTCTCTCTCTGTCTCTCCCCCTCCCGTCCACTCTCTCTAAAAATCAATGGAAACATATCCTCTGGTGAGGATTAACAAAAAAAAATTGTCTGCAGAGAGCAACTGATTGACATTTCTCTCTCATATGGATGTTTCTCTCTCTCTCTTTTCCTCTCTCTCTAAAAATCAATAAAAACATATCCTTGGGTAAGGATTAAAACAAACAAACACTTTGCAGAAACAAACAAAAACAGTGTGTATATTTTTAATTGGTTAAAATTTTAAATAATGTGGCAACCTGTGGGACATTGCTTTATCATTTTGTTATTCATTGTTAATACCATTCTTTTCAAACTACTTACAAATCTCCCCCACACACACTTATAATTCTAGAAAAAAAGGAACTGCTACAAGAAAAATTGTATTTATTGTATTTAGTAGTAGGATATAAGTAATGGTTTTTCCCCTCCTTTTCTGTTTTCCTATTTCCATATCTTGCTGCAATGGTTATATTACTGCTAAAATCAAATTTCTTATTTTACAAAATATTATTTAAATTAATAAACATTTTAAAATTATATCTGAAGACAATGCTTTAAGACATTTTATTTATATAAAACTTCAAAATGCTTGTATATTTAACTTGGTATTTAGATTCATAAATATTTGCTAATATTTACAGTAACAGTGACAATCAAAATGCCACTTCCATGGAAAAAAGCCAGTATATTAAAAGAATAGTTCTAACAAAAAAGCAGGAACTCTTCTCTCACCTCCCTCTCCCGAAAGGCACCTAACTTTATAACCACAGCAATAAAAAAAGTTAACAGCAGTGGTTCCTGAATGCTAGTTCACAGCCCAGCATACATAGGACTGTGGAATTTTGAGGAAGTTCTTTAAACTCTAAATTTCTGAAGGCCAACCCTGACCAAAACAACTAGATTTTCTGGAAAAAATAGATATGGATACACAGATTTCAGATAATATTCATTCTTCTACCCTAAGTCAAACCTTTAGGACTTGACGTGGTTTTGCCATGCTTACCTTCTTGGTTGATAGGTGAATTAAATGAGGGCTGAGGCACATCCCTATGTGATGATTTCTGAGGACTTAGGGCCCTCACTGGAGGTGGTCCTCCAGTTGGAGGAGGCCCAAGAGGAACTCCTGGTTGGAAAGTGGTAGGCAGAGGTGGATTCACTAAGGGGGGTGCAGAACCTATGAAAACATTGGTTTTTCACGTTACTTAAGAATTTAAGACAAAGGCCAAATAGCCTTTCACTAAATCTGAGTAACTTTGAAATTTTAATTACAACCACCAACAAATTACCAGAAATATGTTAACTTCCCAGGTTTATAACTTAATTTATATGCATACTTTACATCTTGCCAAGTCTCTCCTATAGTAAATTATTAAAGCAGTATAAACTCAACATCAAATCACTTATAAGATAGAGACAGTGCCCTCTTAATTGATTAATTTTTCATTGGTCGCAGTTTCAATAGGCCACATCAAATATTCCAGTAGAAATTAACACGAATAAAATTTTATTAATGACCTATTAATATAGTCCATTCAATTAACATTGATTAGGTTTAGAGTTAGTATTGTAAATACTTTGTAATTTGTTAGTATTGTGATACTCTAAATTCTCTAAGTTTTATTTCATTCTGCTTCATTTTTATTGGCGGTGTATAACCTATTAAAAATGAGATTGTATATTTGTACCTTTCAATAACCTAATGATAATCAACAGTTTACTTTTGTCCAGCTGGCATGACTCATTGGTTGAGCATCGACCTATGAACCAGGAGGTCATGGTTTGATTCCCATCAGGGCACATGCCATGGTTGTGGGCTGGACTCCCAGTGCGGGGTGTTCAGGAGGCAACTAATCAATGATTCTCTCCCATCATTGATGTTTCTATCTCTCTCTCCCTCTCCCTTCCTCTCTGAAATCAATAAAAATACATTTTTTAAAAAGTAGTTTACTTTCAATAATGGTTTAAATACTATATTAAAAACATTCCCTAAGCTTAAAAAACAGGAAATGATTCAAAGTTTATGCATATGCCTTATAGGTCACTATCCGAAAGGTATAAAAATACTCATCAAACTAAACTAAGAATTACATGATATTTGTTCTGGTATCTACCAGTATTTTCACTGCCTCAACTACACCAATTTTCCATTAGGACAATTAAGTTCTGGCTAGTGTAAAAAACATTATCAGTTACTCTTGAGGAAATTCTTCTATGTGATATCAAAAGTTCCAAAACCCACAACCATCTATTCACTCAAGTCAACAGTATTACTTCCACCTTCTCATTTGCCAAAGAGGAGGAACAAAGTCTGCAAAGTAGATAAAATAATACTGATAAGTATGTGATTTAATTTTTCAGCCCAAGGCTTTTTTTATCCTCTGAATTTGTAAATGAAATAGATAATAAATCTTACTTTATAATATATTCTACAGTTAACCCTGTAATTTTGTACAACTAAAGGAATAAAGATAGGCAAATAACAAAAATTTTCAATATGCTTCTTCAACAGTATTTAATTTTCCAGGGCCAAATTGAAAAATTATTGTATTACTAAACTTTATGGCTCCCAATAAGACTAATCAGTGCCTTGTTGACAAAAGTGAAGACAAAGATTACTACCATGTAACACCCTTATCAAAGAAGCACCCACACATATCTTTCATATCTTTGGCAATACAGACAAGTCAAAGGAACAAAAGGGCAAGGTACAGTACCAACTCAGCATGAACAAGAATGTATGACACATCTGTTCACAAAAATGTAACAACCTAATGTTTAACAGCATTCAAGTGAACTTACAGATTTTTCACAGCTTTCAAAAGAATGCTTTTGAATCCAAAAATATGCTACATTTTATAGGATAATCATTATTTTTTCAAACTGCATAATTCTTATTTATAACAGTAATAACTAGTGTTTTAGAACCTGTCTCCTAAGATCCCTAAAACTAATGCAAGGATGCTAACAGATGGACTATTAGGGGGGAGGGGGAAGAATTTTAATATGTGGACTAGAAACTTAGTATAACTTATATACAGTTTTGAAATTGAACAACCAGGCACCTATTATTAATGATGGGTTGAAAAAAACAGAGATCAAACATGAAGAATTTTTTTTCTCATAAGAAAAAAGAAGGGTAGTCATACATTTATTTTAGGTTCATTTCATTAGTTTATTTATCTTTCTCCTACTTTTACATGGAAACCTTCATAAGTAATGACACTTGCTTATGCCTCTTTCACCACATTTGTGCTGCAGTCAAGGTGCTCTACCTGAATGTTTCTGTTAGCGTCAAAAATATTTCAGATTATTGATCGTATGTTTTTAAACAAGAAGCTACACTTATTCTTTTTTTATTTTTTAAATATATTTTTATTGATTTCAGAGAGGAAGGAAGAGGTAGAGAGAGACAGAAACATCCATGATGAGAGAGAATCATGAATTGGCTGCCTCCTGCAAGTCCCCCACTGGGGATCGAATCCGGGCATGCGCTCTTGACCAGAATCAAACCTGGGACCTTTCAGTTCGCAGGCCGACGCTTTATTCACTGAGCCAAACCGGCTAGGGCTACACCTATTCTTAAACACTTTTTATATAGTACCTGTTCCCAAATTCTTTTCTATTTTAAAAAATATATTTTATTAAGTTTTTACAGAAGGAAGGGAGAGGGATAGAGAGTTAGAAATATTGATGAGAGAGAAACATCGATCAGCTGCCTCCTGCACACCCCCCTACTGGGGATGTGCTTGCAACCAAGGTACATGCCCTTGACTGGAATCGAACCTGGGACCCTTCAGTCCGCAGGCTGACGCTCTATCCACTGAGCCAAGCCGGTTAGGGCCCATATTATTTTCTTGTGGCTTTGGGTAAATGATTCAGGCCTCAGAGTTATTTCTTATAAAAGAGACTGTTATGAAAATTAAGATAACACTTATAAAAATCTGGCAAAGTGCTGGAAAATAATAAATATTAAATAATTGTTACATATAATTATTAATTATGAAGTGAATATTCATTAATTTCAACTGACTGATGCTCACTCATGGTGTCAATAAGAATAAGAATAAGCCGAAACCGGTTTGGCTCAGTGGATAGAGCGTCGGCCTGCGGAATGAAAGGTCCCAGGTTCGATTCCGGTCAAGGGCATGTACCTTGGTTGCGGGCATATCCCCAGTGGGAGATGTGCAGGAGGCAGCTGATCGATGTTTCTCTCTCATTGATGTTTCTAACTCTCTATCTCTCTCCCTTCCTCTCTGTGAAAAATCAATAAAATATATTTAAAAAAAAAAAAGAGTAAGAATAAAAGTAACCAGGAGAGCCCTGGCCAAGTGGCTCAGTTGGTTAGAGCAATACGCCAAGGTTGTGGTTCAATCCCCAGTTAGGACACATACAAGAGTCAATCAATGAATGCATATATGAGTTTCCTCTCTCTCTAGAATCAATAAATAAAAATTTTTAAAAATTAAAAAATAAAAGCAACCAGGAGAATTTTGGTTCTAACAATTGTGGGTCAAAAGATTTTGACAAAGAAATTAAGTTTCTAGGAATAGCCTTACGCTTTACGAGGCCAAAATGCATTCATCAGGGTCAATGGCTGATCAAGGAGGTAAGAAAAATAAGTAGTTTTAGCAGTTAAACTACAAGCCTGATGAAGTGTATATAGTATACGCAGTAATACACATGAGTATAAAAAGGTAATTTTTGTTTACTATTTCACTTGGATGCTTTCATAATTCCTTTCCTTGAGGATGTCTGCTGAGCAGACTCAACCTGCATATCCCGATACAGCAGCGGTTCTCAACCTGTGGGACGCGACCCCTTTGACGGTCGAACGGCCCTTTCACAGGGGTTGCCTAAGACCATCCTGCATATCAGATATTTACATTACGATTCATAACAGTAGCAACATTACAGTTATGAAGTAGCAACAAAAATAATTTTATGGTTGGGTCACAACATGAGGAACTGTATTTAAAGGGCCAGAAGGTTGAGAACCACTGCGATACAGGGTTTTAAATGCTTTTCAAAGTAACACTACTAATGTTTATAAGTGTATAAGACAAATTTTAATAGTTAAATGAAGCGGATATGATCAAACATTGAGGTTAAAAATAAAAAGATAAAAGTCAGTCCAAGAATATATAGATTTCTTCCCAAAGTGATGTACAGCCAAAACAACCTTGAAAATGAAAAACAAAGTTGGTAGGGCCAGACTTCCCAAATCCAAAGATCACTACAAAGCTACAGTAATCAAGATGTTTGGCGCTGGTATAAAGATATAGACATATAGATCAATGAAACAGAATTTAGAGTCCAGAAATAAACCCTTACATTTATGAGCAATTGATTTTCAACAAGGGTGCCAAGAAAATTCAATGGGAGAAAGAATAGTTTAGCAAATAGTCCTGGGACAACTGTATCTCCACATGCACAAGAATGAAGTTGAATCCCTACCTAACACCATATAAAAAGAAAATTAACTCAAAATTGATCAAAGACATAAATATTGGAGCTAAAACTCTTAGAAGAAAACATAAATATAAAAATATGTCCACTGCTTTTTTTCTTCTTTTTGTATTTTGCTTATTGAATGCATTGGATTCTTTTTTTTTTTTTTGCCACTTTATTCCTTTTTTATTTTATTATTATTTTTAATCCTCACCCAAGGATATTTTTCCATTGATCTTCAGAGAGAATGGAAGAGAGAGGGAAAGACAGAGAGAAACATGAGAGAAACATCGATTGATTCCCTCCTGCACGGGCCTTGACCAGGACCCGGGCCAGTGGAGGAACCTGCAACCAACGTACGTGCCCTTGACCGGAATCAAACCCGGGACCCTTCTGTCCATAGGCCAATGTTCTATCCACTGAGCCAAAATGACAAGGGCTGATATTGGTTCTTCATGTCTACTGCTTTCTGACTGCAGTTATGCTCAATAACATTCCTCACTCCGAAAGTATGATCTGTTTTGACATCTGAGATCCTACAGTTTCTGGGGCCAAAAACTGTCTATGCCATAACAAAAAGATAACCCAAGTCTCAAATCAAGACCAAAGAAAGCCAGAAGGTGTGGCTCAATGATTGAGCATCAACCTATGAACTAGAAGGTCATAGTTCCGATTCCCGGTCAGGGCACATGCCTGAGTTTCGAGTTAGATCCCCAGTGTGGGCATACAGGAGGCAGCCAATCATTGATTCTCTTTCATCATTGTTATTTCTACCTCTCTCTCTCCTTCTCCCTTCCTCTCAGAAATCAATGAAAATATAAGAAAAGAAAATAAAAAGACCAAAGAGAAACCACAGGGGTTGATCTTCCCTAGAATACAAAACAAAACCAATTTAATAAAAGTAATGATCAGTCCTTAAGGGAGTGGTTCTCCATGCATTCCAGAATCCCTGAAATACCATGAGTGACTCAAGGAAACATAGAGGATAAGATACAAAGCAGGAACAATCCACAATTTTAAGTTAACTTAAAGGTTAGAGAAACAGTTTATTTAAACATTAACAATGATTTAAAAAATCAATAGTCTTACAATGGTTTTAAGACTTGAAACATTAATTCAAATGTCTAATTAAGCAAAAGTTTCCCATTTCTATATTTTAAAGAACTCTACCTGATTTTATGAAGTTGTTTTGAAGTGAAGGATCTCCAGAAGAAACATACTGATGACTTGTCAAATTTGTATTCCCAGACATAGTTGGTCCAGTTGATACACGAGGATAATGGTTTGTCTGTGATCCTGTGGATGGATAGTTATACTGCCAATTCAGAGGTGGCGGTACATTGGCTCCAGGATGAAAGCTACCAGAAGGCATTGGTGTAGCAGCTGGGTTCTGAGAAGCATGTTGTGGCATTCGGGGAACAGGACCACTATGGAGTGAAGGTGTCACTGCATTAGAAGCCACAGGTGGTCTATGAAGAGTCTGCCCAGGTCCCTGATAATTATTTAATGGAGTAACAGTCTGAGAACCACCATAGTTCGACTGTCCAGAGACTGGATTCAAAGTCTTTGCTGGTAATAGATGAGAGTAGGATCCTGGAAGCTGAGAATTATATCCTTGTGCAGACAGCAGTGCATTTTGGATAGGACCTTCCAATAAGAGGAGGAAAAAAAATCAGTCTTGCAAACGAATAAAGCAATACTTTAAAAAATACAATAAAATATATGGTATTCTTACAACTCAACAATAAAAAGACAAATAACCTAATTTAAAAATAAACAAAGGAGTTAAATAAACATTCAAATACATTTCCAAAGAGATATATAAATAAATGGCCAGTAAATACATACAAAAACAGTCAACATTAGTCACTAGAGAAATGCAAATCAAAATCACAATGAGATACCACTCACACCAAATAGGATTGTTAAAAAGGAAAATAGCAAGTGCTGACTAGGATGTGCAGAAAATGGAACCCTCATTCAATGCTAGTGAAAATGTAAAATGGTGCACCTACATTGGAAAACAGTTTGGTAGTTCCTCAAAATGTTAAACACAGTTATCATACAATCCAGCAATTCCACTTCTCGTCTGCATAAAAATTTATACACACGAATATCATAACATCATTATTACTAATAGTCAAAAAGTGGAAACAACCCAAATGTCCATAAACTGATAAGTAGGGGTACAAAAGGGAACCAATGGAATATTATCTATAATAATAAAAGCATAATATGCAAATCGACCGAACAGCAGAACAACTGTCTGGACAACTTTCCGGACGACCATGCTATGACACGCACTAGCGCCAGGCCAGCCAAGGCAGGTGTGATGCGATTGGTCGGGGGGTGGGGGGCCCACCATCACCCTACGATGAATTGCCACACAGAGGGAGGCCCAGGCCACCGGCCAGCGACACTGTGGCAGGTGTGAGGGGCCGGCCAGTGATGGCCCTGCAGAGGCAGGCCCAGGCCAGCCAAGTGATCGCACCCTATGCCTGTTGACCAGCAGAGGAAGGCGACCGGTGGCGGGGGAGGGAAGGGGGCAGTGCTGCACAGATGGCAAGCAGTAGCAGCGGTGGGGGTGGGGCCAGCTGCAGGCAGCCGGGAGAAAGAAAGCCCCGATAGGCCCTGATCGCCGGCCAGGCCTAGGGATCCTACCCAAGGGGTCCTGGATTGCGAGAGGGCGCAGGCCAGGCTGAGGGATACACCCACCCATGCTCGAATTTCGTGCACTAGGCCTCCAGTTTGGTCATAACAGGAATGAAGTATTGACAACACACTACAACATAAATAAACCTTGAAAACATCATGCTAAGTGAAAGATACTAGTCACAAAGGGCCATACATTATATGATCCATTTATATAAAATGTCCAGAGTAGGAAAATCCACACACACAGATGTAGATTTATGGTTGCAGTGGCTAGGAGGAGGGGATGGGAAGTGACTACTAATGGGTATAGAGTTTCTTTTTGGGGTGATAAAAATATTCTAAAAATTGTAGTACCCGGCTGGCGTGGTTCAGTGGTTGAGTGTCAACCTGTGAATCAGGAGGTCACGGTTTGATTCTTAGTCAGGGCACATGCCTGGGTTGCAGGCTCAATCCCCAGTGAGGGGTGTGCAGGAGGCAGCCAATCAATGATTCCCTCTCATTATTGATGTTTCTCTCTCTCTCTCCCTCTCCCTTCTTCCCTGAAATCAATAAAAATGTATTTTTTAAAAACCTGATTGTAGTTATGGTTGCAAAACTCTGTCAATATACTAAAAAACATTGAATTGTACATTTTAAAACTGCTATAAAAAATTAATCAGACCCAGCCGGTGTGGCTCAGTGATTGAGCATCAACCCAGGAACCAAGAGGCCCCGGTTCAATTCCTGGTCAGGGCACATGCCCCAGTTGCAGGCTCAATCCCCAGTAGGGTGCGAGCGGGAGGCAGCCTATCATGATATTTCTCTCTCCATGTTTCTATCTCTCTATCCCTCTCTCTTCCTCTCTAAATGAAATAAATAAATAAATAAATTAATTAATTAAATAACCCTTAAAATCAGCACTTCTATTGAGGACTATACTATTATTTCTGTCCATAAAAATAGGCAATAATAAAAAGAAAAATCAATGAACTTTTATGCATATATGCATAACCTGTGGAAACAGACAATGGGGTGGTGAGGGCCTGGGGGGTGGGGGACAGGGACGGGAGCTGGCTGGAAGAAGTTAATGGGGGAAAAAGGAGGACCTATGTAATACTTTCAACAATAAAGATTTTTTTAAAAACAATTAAATAAATAACTTTAAAAAAATTCTTTATTGTTGAAAGTATTACATATGTCCCCTTTTCCACCATTGTTCTCTCCCAGCCTGCCCTGCTTCCCAGCCCTGGCCTTTACCACCACCCCCATTGTCTGTGTCCATAGATTATGCTTATAAGCATACAAGTTCTTTGGTTGATCTCTCTCCCCACCACACACACACCCTGCCCACCCACCCTCCCCCTGCCTTCCTTCTGAGGTTTGAGGGTCTGTTCAATGCTTCTATGTCTCTGGATCTATTTTTTTCCCCCCATCAGTTTATGTTGTTCATTATATTCCACAAATGAGTGAGATCATGTGATACTTATCCTTCTCTGACTGGCTTATTTTGCTTAGCATAATGCTCCCCAGGTCCATCCATGCTGTTGTAAATGGTAAGAGTTCCTTCTTTTTTACAGCACATAGTATTCCACTGTATAGATATGACACAGTTTTTTAATCCACTCATCTGCTGATGGACGCTTAGGCTGTTTCCAAATCTTAGCTATTATAAATTGTGCTGCTATGAACATAGGGGTGCATATGTTCTTTCTGATTGGTGTTTCTGATTTCTTGGGATATATTCCTAGGAGTGGGCTTACTGAGTCAAATGGGAGCTCCATTTTTAATTTTTTTGAGGAAACTCCTCTGTTTTCCACAGAGGCTGTGCCAGTTTGCATGAGGGTTCCCTTTTCTCCACATCCTTGCCAGCACTTGTCATTTGTAGATTTGTTAATTTTTCACAGACCTATAACAAACTCTCCAAAAATTTATATGGAACAAAAAAAGACCCCGAATAGTCACAGCAATCCTGAGAAAAAAGAATAAAGTTGGAGGGATCACAATACTAGACATCAAGTTGTATTACAAAGCCACTGTTCTCAAAACAGCCTGGTACTGGCGCAGAAACATACAAATAGACCAATGAAACAGAACAGAGAACCCAGAAATCAACCCAAGCCATTATGCTCAACTAATATTTGACAAAGGAGGCAAGAGCACACAATGGAGTCAAGACAGTCCCTTCAACAAATGGTGCTGGAAAAATTGGATACATGCAAAAAAATGAAACTTGCCGAAACCAGTTTGGCTCAGTGGATAGAGCGTCGGCCTGCGGAATGAAAGGTCCCAGGTTCGATTCCGGTGGGGGAGCATGTACCTTGGTTGCGGGCACATTCCCAGTGGGAGATGTGCAGGAGGCAGCTGATCGATGTTTCTCTCTCATCGATGTTTCTAACTCTCTGTCTCTCTCCCTTCCTCTCTGTAAAAAATCAATAAAATATATTTTTAAAAAAATGAAACTTGACCACCAACTTACACCATACACAAAAATAAGCTCAAAATAGATAAAGACTTAAACATAAGACGGGAAACCATAAAAACAAGAAAGCCCACTGCATGGGAGAACATATTTGCCAATGTGACATATGATAAGGGTTTAATCTCCAAAATTTATAGGGAACTCATACAACTTAACAAAAGGAAGATAAACAATCCAATCAAAAAATGGGCAAAGGACTTAAACACTTCTCAAAAGCAGACATACAGAAAGCCGAGGCATATCCTATATAATAAAAGGGTAATATGCAAATTGACCCTAACAGCGGAACAACCACTGGAACAGTCACTATGAGGTGCACTGACCACCTCTCAGTTCCTTTCCCTGGCTGGCAGGCTCCGATTGCACGATGGCCACCCGCAGCAGGGGTGGGGCCGGCGACCGGGCAGGAACAGTGGACCTCTCGGTCCCTTCCCCCGGCCATCAGGCACCAATCACCCGATGGGGAACGGGTAACTAGGGATGGGGGGTGGGGCTGGCTGTAGACAGCTGGGGAAGATGGCCTTGATCACAGGCCAGGCCTAGGAACCGTACCCACGCATGAATTTTATGCGCCAGGCCTCTAGTCAATAAATAAATATATTTTTTAATATATTTTATTGATTCCCTACAGAGAGGAAGGGAGAGAGACAGAGAGTTAGAAACATCGATGAGATAGAAACATCGGTCAGCTGCCTCCTGCACATCTCCCACTGGGAATGTGCCCGCAACCAAGGTACATGCTCCCCGACCGGAATCAAACCTGGGACCCTTCAGTCCGCAGGCCGAAGCTCTATCCACTGAGCCAAACCGGCTTCGGCAATAAATAAATATTTTTTTAAAATTAAATAAAATTAGGAAATAAGATGCATATTTTTAAAAATATGGTACTCACATAAACTTAAAAAAAGTCTTTGAACTATTTATGCTTAAAAGATATAAAAAGAAAATATTTATCTTCTATTCATACCTCCTTAGTCCATGCAACCAATGTACAAATGTCATCAGATTAATTTGAATCATTTCATAATTATGCAATGCTTATACAAACATACATAAGTCTGTGTATATATAGAGAGGTAAATTGGGAGGCCTACAGAAACATATATATGAGTTGGAAGGAGGAAGTTAGTCTATATACATTGCTCTCCAAAATAAAAAAACATAGGTATCCTTCCAGGACAAAAGAAATAGATCCAAATGTGTTAGCTGCAGCATTGTTTATAATAATGAAAAATTGGAAAGAAATGAAATATCCATCAACAGGAGATAAAGAAATTGTAGATTAGTCACACAATAGACTGTTTGTCAATGAAATGAATAAGCAACAGGGATAAATTACAAAAAGAATATTAGGAGAGGGAGAGATAGAAACATCAATGATGAGAGAGAATCATTGATTGGCTGCCTCCTGCACACCCCCACTGGGGATCAAGCCCGCAACTCGGGTTTGTGCCCTGACCAGGAACCAAACCCTGACCTCTTGGTTCATAGCCATGCCAACCAGGCTCTTATAATTTTCTTTTCTCTAGCTTAC